TTGATGCCTACATCTATTTCATTACGAGTTAGATCAATGAGTGATGGTATGTCATCCCCAAAATCCGAGACAGTATCATACTGAATAGTTAACCTTTGATATGTACTTTCATCCATAAATGCATCGTTATATTTCATGTTTTCTAAAGTATTATTAATTTCAAAATAAATTTTCACATTATATGTGTTGTGACGGTAAACGTCAAGTTAGCGCTAACTATTTAACTTTATTGCTGTCCGTGAGGGCAGCACCTCCCGGGGGGACAAAAATACGTAACGAAGGAATTCGACACGCGAGCAGACGGAACGCACGCGGTAGAATTCGAACCAGTGAAGCATAGACCATCGTAGTGTCCGCCCGCTATCGCTATTATCACCGCCAAGTTACGCATCCTCGACGAATACGACGCGACAGAGTAGCAGCAGCCAGTGATCCAGGATTGCAGCCGCCAAGGTGCTGTCCAGCTACGAACCAGAGGCCAGAGCGAGAAAGAGAGAGAGTGTGTGAGGTTTCGCCATCGAGGGCGAAACCGGTGTGTGCGCGCATTCGCGACTCGCGAACAATAAAACAATATCAAAACTGTTCCGTGCTGTGCGACCTGTAATAGTTTTTCTCCGATCGCCTGCAATTATAAGGTAAGCTGGCCAGCTTAATTACGCGGTCGGAATTGCATGACTGATAAATAACTTTCGGTATTCGATGCATGCATGTAAAGCTCTAGTAACAAGGAGCCGCGAGCGTACCGGCAAAGCGTGTTGTCGATGAGTGAGCGTGCATGTAAACAAACGCGCGGGTCGATCTCTTGTGAGTTTTAAGGGACAATAAAAGATCCGATTTACCTTACTAACAAGTGTTTTCATTGATTCTCTCATCTCACATAGCTTCCACTCAATTTAGTTTAGGTTATAAACGATTATCGGTTGACTGGCGCATATTTTCTCGTGCTCTCCCGGAATAGTAGTGAGCATTGACGATTTACGCGTGTCCCATTAATATAATCGCGCGATATAATCATTAAACGGTCATACCCCGTTACAGTGTCAAGTTTAAGCTTTATAATTTTCATAGTATCATAACCGATAATTCAATCTTTTATTAATCTAGGAATAATTATGAAGATAATACAATATATTGACTACCCCATTTTACATTCAAATAAATTTGTTTCTTCAATCTCACCGATTTTTGGCCAGTAGCTACTTTAATAACGTGTCCACTAATCGGAAGAGTTTATCTTTAAAATTACTCAAGTTTTGATTGTAAAATTCCTCTGAAATAGCAGAAACTTCACTACCCGAATCAAGTAGAGCCTTTACTAGAATGTTTTCTAATAAAAAAAATATTTCAGAACAGGTTCTGCCCCCATTGTTACTATCATTATTTCATAATTCACCATTAATTTCTCGTCTAGGATCTTCAAAAATAGTCAATAATTCTTTCGATAATAAATTGTTACTTGATTTTATTGTTGCAACTCGTTGCAAGCTCTTGCGTTTATCCGATTTCCGAGAAGCAACATTTACTCGTTTCCCGACTTGGTACATCTTGTAAAATCGGTTTTGAAATATTTCTATTTTTATTTACTTTATTATTCTTATTATTCGACTTACTATTTTCAATTGTTATGCTATTAATTTGTTGTTCTCCGCCGTTATCTTTTTGTGTATGATGTGAACTAATATAATCATCATTATCCAAAGAAGATAAAACCTTAATAAATTCTGATATCTTTTTTATATGTCTAGCTTGAACTAATAAACGTACATCTCTATCAAAATGTCGAGATAATTTATCTATTAATTCTTCTTCATCTAGATTATCATTTATATCAAATGCTAAATTAATTTTACATATAGCATAATAATAACGTGATAATTTTCCACCAAAATATTTTCCAAATTCTATTTCGCGAGTAATATTTCTACGTATTTCAGCGTTCCAAAATTTCTCTTTAAATAACATTTCAAAATCTTCAAAATTTTTAATTTCACGCTGTACTAAGTCATATCAAGAAGAATTTATCCCTGACATAGATTAAAATAACAGACATAAAAATTGCGCAGTATTATAATTACTTGCTTGTAAATAACGTTTGAGATCATTTAAATATTTTAATGGTCGATATTTATAACTATCGTCAAAAACTGACCAGTAGGGATTTACTCATGAAGCAAAATATATCAATTTTAACTTAGCATAAGATATATTTATTGAATTATGCAAAGTACTGTTATGGGAATCAATTCTATGTTTTTACTTTTTACTTTTTCAAACTTATCTCAAAATGTGTTTATGAAGTTTTTTGTATTATACAAATTTGGGCACTGCAACTCAGTACCGAAATGAGTTGATTACCAACAGAAAAACCGTTTTAGAAGTTATTAACCGAGAATACGTCTACGTTCGCAGACTATATCATGCATGAGCAGACCCAACGTAATCTCAGTAAACAATACTAACTAATTACTAAGTGCAGTCATATTGGCAACTAGCAAATTGAACATGAAGCAAGAAATATAAACTTTCAACAAAAAATGATCTACGATATTCAATGTTATAGTTTAATATTCCATTATATTTTTCATCGAAAACCGATTAAACTGATACAGACCGGATTTAACGGACAGATATTTAAGATACTAACTTCGTAGCCAATTATCGATGTTTAAGCGATTCTATCACATTGCCTGAATTTCCAAAAACCTTGATATCATATGAGATATCCAGCTGAGATCCTATCATACCACCATATTTTTCATAGAAAATAGTAAAAACTGTAGCTAACCGGATTTCGAGGACAGTATCTCAGGTCACTAGTCTCTTTGAGGATCATCGATATTTTACAGTTTCTGAAATCAGTGGTCAGGTTGATAATACCTAGACATGATATAGGTCATTCAATGTTATGGATTAATATTCCATTATATTTTTTATCTAAAACCGATTAAACTGACACAGACCGCATTTAACGGACAGATATTTAAGATACTAACTTCGTAGCCAATTATCGATGTTTAGGCGATACTATCACATTGGTTGATTTTCCTAAAAGCTTGATGTTATATGAAATGTCCAGCTGATATCCTATCATTTCACCATAACTTCCATAGAAAATAGTAAAAACTGTAGCTAACCGGATTTCGAGGACAGTATCTCAGGTCACTAGTCTCTTACAGGATCATCGATATTTTACAGTTTCTGAAATCAGTGGTCAGGTTGATAATACCTAGACATGATCTAGGTCATTCAATGTTATGATTTAATAATCCATTATATTTTTCATCGAAAACCGATTAATCTGACACAGACCGGATTTAACGGTTAGATATTTAAGATATTAGCTTCTCAGGTTTCTAGTCCCTGAAATTCATCGATATTTTACAGTTTCTGAGATCAGTGGTCAGGTTTATAATACCTAGAACTGATCCAGGATTTACATGGTTATACTGTATCATTTCATGATGATTTTCATAGAAAAGTGAGTAAACTGAAACAGACCGGATTTCACGGACGGATATTTAAGATACTGGCTTCGTAGCCAAATATCGATGTTTAAGCGATTCTATCACATTGGTTGATTTTCCTAAAAGCTTGTTGTCATATGAAATATCCAGCTGATATCTTATCATTCCACCATAACTTCTATAGAAAATAGTAAAAACTGTAGCTAACCGGATTTCGAGGACAGTATCTCAGGTCACTAGTCTCTTTGAGAATCATCGATATTTTACAGTTTCTGAGATCAGTGGTCAGGTTGATAATACCTAGAAATGATCTTAATTTTTTTGTTACCCTCCTATTTTTGTTTATATTTTTCCTACCAAAATAGTAAAAACTGAATTACACAGATTCCAAGGAACGTTTCTTAGATCACAAGCTTTAGTAGTTGTCCGGATTTCAAAGATAACAACTCATAATATTTTATAACACCTTATTGTCATAGATAGATATTCTACCGATTCCAACTTTAGAGGTGAGCGTCATAATACCTATTATTGGTCTAGTCTATTCAAGCTGCCATAACATCATTTCATCTGTAATATGAGTTTAATTATAAACTACCCCAGCGGATGAGATTTCAAGGACATCAAATAAAATGACTATACTCGTTTTTGTCGTTCTATAAATTCTAATATCAATAATTGATATTGCTAGAAAAGATTATTTATATCTTTCTGTCTTTCATTTTTCTTGTCGCTTGCAACAGGATATGTGAATTCAACAATCGAATCGAATTTTATTGTGTTTTTAATAGCCGTAACAATCTCAGATCTCTTCGGCTGGAAGATAAGATTCAAGGGATCAATTCTCAGTCATTCGCGCTTTTGTACTTCTGCCGCTGCTACGATAAAAGTATGTCATAGTAATCTATTAATTTTTAATGTTAACAGTTCTCAAAACGGAAAATTTGTTACATAGAAAATTTGCACATGATTTTTCTCAATAATTGATACTGCCCTGTTCACAAAATTGATGGAAAATGTACGTAAAAAAATAATTACAACCATTTTTATGATTTTTTTATTAATGATACTTAAGTTTTAGAACCAAAAACATGAGTGTTCGTTAATATGCTAACGATGCACAATCCTTTTGTATTTTTTTTTCGTAGATTTTTATTATGTTCTCGCTATGTATTAACTTAGTTGAAATAAAATATACTCTTGAACTTTTTAGTAGACTGTATAATACACTACAATGTACTAGGGTAAGCATTCGTTTTTACCTACGTTTTATAGGTATAAGTCATTTTCAATCAATGTTATTTTGATCGTAATTATATTTTTAGAAATAACTATCAGTAATAGTAGTGATGATATAATTTTTTTTGCATATGTTGATTCAACCTATCCTGAGATTTGAAAGGTATAACCTCAAGGAGTTAATAATTTTTAATTGTAATTAAATTAATATCATGAAGTATTTATTTAGTTTCATATTTTTTTATTCAAATATACCTATGCTATACGATTGTTATAAGTTTTTTAAGAATAGTTATGATGTCAGAAGTACAACTAAAAACTGAATCGCAAAAAAAAATTGGGATGAATAGTTGGTCGCTAATGCAAGTCGATGACTTGATGAAGTTTTTAATTTTAGATCCATATTTGGGTTTTACGATTCGTAAAATCCACCCAATTAATAATTTTACACAACATAATAAAATAGCAGTTGATAAGATCATTTTCAAGAATATGTTATGGAATGAAAAGGAGATTAATAATGTTTCACAATCTCTAAAAACATTACTCAGTCAGCAAAATTTATATTACCATTTCAATATAAAATATTCTACTTGGGTTAATGAGGCTATACGATTTTACCTTCAAACAATTTCAATTCAATCTCCAGTAAGAATTGAAAAATGTAGCACATATAAGAGTGAGAATAATGGGCTCAAAGTTGTTGCTAAAAATGATATACCAAAAGGTGTTCAACTAAGATGCTTATCAGGTATATGTAAAGTAATGGATCCTGTAAGAGAAGAGTTGTTGAAGAAAAAAAATTTTAATTTCTCAATCATTGAATGTTCAAGATTGAAAAATCCTGTTCTCATGTTAGGAACAGCAGCCTTTTTGAATCACGATTGTCAACCTAATTGCACTTATTTAGTATGTTCAAAGAAATTACTTATAATCAAAACAATTACGGATATCAGTAAAGGACAAGAACTATTTTGTTACTGTAACGGTCCTATTTATGAGCTGTTTATTAAATGACTGCAACTAGTCTAACGTATTTATCTGTTAGTCAAAACAATACATTAAGCGGCGCTACCTCACTGTTTACGCGACTGTATACAAATAAGAGTCGAGTCAAAACAAATAGCGTGACGTCACAAATAATAGACATAGATATAATGTACCATAATATTGAGAAAAATATGTTAATTATAGATAATTTGAATATAACAAAGTATCAATTATATAGATTTTAACATACAGATTCACAATATCTCATTCAATTATAAATTTATAACGAATATCGATATGTAAAGTTAATTTATTTATTAACATATGAAATATTAGAAAAATATAAATAATTTATATGTAAAATGAATAAGCATAGAACATGAGTAAGAATTGGTTTCATTAATAACAGCTAAATAACAACTGTTATTAATAAATAAACAACTAATAATTTATTTAAACAATAAGCTAAATATAGAACGAAAATATTAAGTTAATACTTGATAATGACAATTTTATGATTTAGAAATCTTAGATAATTAATCTAATAATCGCATATTAAGATTAAAAGAAAATCGTTACAAATATGAAAAATTAGTCATAATTCAAATGTTATTAATTAATTTAAATAATTAATTTTGGAAAATACTTCCAAAATTAATTAACTATAAAGTTATATGAAATTTTAATAATTTTCTATTGTAAATAATGTAATATCACGTTAATTAACTTTATTAGTTAATAACTTTTGACGACACTATTGGCGATAATTGTATACTGTATAAAATCAACAAATAACTAATTCTGTAAAATTTACATGTGTTAAAAACTTAATATTAATGGCTATTTACTTGTAAATTAAGAAAAATCATTTCTCAAAATTCGCGAATGTCTCTCGAATTTTCGATGAAATCTCTCCTGCAATAATAAGCGGGAAAATCTGTGTATAAATAGGCCCACCTTTGCACAGGCTAGATTCATTCACTTCTAGCCTTGCAAAGTGAGCGCATGAGTCTGAATAAACTTGGATTAACACCTAAGTTCTTTCTCTCATTGTGATTTACTAAGCAAGACTAACCTTTCCTTATAATTTGAGCTCGACTTATAGAACATCTCGCGCTATAAGAAACTTGGGCCGAATTATATCCTATCCAAGAAAGACTCTAGCTCTGCTTATGGGACAACTCGCACCATAAGAAACTAGGGCATTGTCTGACTTTCCTCGATATTTTGCAATTACTTATATGTATTTGATTTACTTAATTATTATATTTGTTTCATTTATCTATTTTCTTGAAAATTAGAGTAAAGTCATCGGAAACAAATTCTTACTCATTAGCTACATTACAAGAGTTCGAATTATTTTTATTTATAAGTGATACGAACATCACATTACTATGGTGAGAATTATTTTGGACAAAAGAATAAAAACTGTGAATGTTACACATGTGAAAAGAATGGAATTGGATTTTTTGCAGAAGGTATTTCTATTGTAACTATCAGATTTAATATTGTAACTATAACAAAAAACATCATATTATTTTAATATTTTTAAGAATTAGAAATTGTAAATAATGTTAACAATGAGCCTGTCAACCTAATAGTTAATAAAGATTTATTAACACCAAGAAAATCTAATTTGAACGATAAAAAAATTAATTTCCAAGCCTCTACAAGTATTAAGGAATTGACTAGTCCATGTGAGTACATGTTCATTGTCTTTTATTCCTTTTAAATGTGACTTAAAAAATTTATAAACTTTTTGATTGGTTACAGCTGGTGTAAGTTTGATTTCTCATAGTAATAATGTAAATGGGGACAGCTCCAATATATACAATAATAGATTAGATGTTGCATTACCTCTTACATACGAGAAAACAAAATTGGAACATTTTAAAATGATAGATAAAGATATAAATAATGGCAGTAGTATGGAAACTATTTGTTGTGTGAAACTCAGCTCTTTACAAAATAATAACTCGCTAATTGTCATGACAGATTATAAACTAAATAGTGCATACATATGAAAATAGTTAGAATTAATAGTTGATTATTATAAGATAAAATATAGAAATGGATATATATTTTGTTTGTTAAGTGAAAAGTTTGTTACAAAATTCACAAGACATTTAAAAACTTCACATCAAGAAATGGACCTCGTAGATAAGTTGATGAATAGTCATAACAGCAAATTTCAAACGTTAGTTATAAACTTCATACGCAATCAAGGCCTTGCACACTACCAACAATTAACTGGAATAGTGATTCCAGCAATGAAGGTTAGAATTGATGCAATTCAGCAGGTTGATAAAGTTCAATGTAATAATTGTTGGGCTTATTTTTCTAAAAAAACCTTATGGCATCACCGTAAGTATTGTCAAGAGATGAGTTTATCAAAAATATATAAATGATTTTAAGCGATTACTCATCGTGTTTGAAAAAATGGATTCAAATATTTATGAATTCGACTGTTTTAATTTACTATAATAGAAAATTATAATATAGATTATAGAATAAAAACATAATTTATGTTTGCAAGTGGTTATATTTAGTGACTGTAAATCTTGTATATTGTCATCTAAAAGTTAGTAAAATTGGAACTTGTATATTATTTTTATAAGTAAATAAATTGAAATGATATTAAAATGTTATAAGTAATTCTATATTTTTTATTTTTATTACATCGTACATCAAATTATAGAAATATTCTTTATAGCAACTGTTTTTGTAATGCTAAAACAAAATAAACAATTTTTTTTAATAAGTAAGTACTAACTGTACATGGTGCAAGTTTAAAGAAATGAAACATGTATTCCATTCAAGAATCTTTAAAATATAAAAATAAAATTTTAATTTTTTATGATTGCTTCAGTGTTTTTTTCACTGATAGGTTTTATAAACATAAGATAACTTTTTTCTTCAATAAACATAAATATAATAATATTCTAAGAAAGAATTTAAAACTATAATTAAAGCTTTCGTTTTTTTTCAAATACAAATTCTGCTGAATTTGCTCTAACAGCGTCTAAACATTTTAAATTTAATCGCGTATTTCTTTTTGAATTTTCACAGACTTTCTTTTGAACAGATTGCTAAAACGGGTCCTAACTGCTTCTTCACCTTTTTCTTTCAAACTGGGGAACTTTTTAAATGCGATTCGCATTTCAGTAGCGCTTGCATATTTTCCTTTTTTCAATTGCTTTGTAAAAGCCATTGCAAAGTTTTGCTGTTGATCATCAGACCAGAACGAATACCTTTTGTTTCCTGAAATGGAAAATATCATTGATGAAATAACAGATTATTAAAGCACCATAATTATTTTAATATTATTACAGATATTTTTGTTAAAAATAAACTACAATAAGCAACTGACTAAATTATAACAAAAATTAGTTTCCTTTACCTTTGTGCTTTTTTATTGGATCTTCATTTGATTTTTCTGTAATGAATACTTTATTATCATCTTGTCCTGCAAGAGTTTCATCTTCAGATGAAGATCCAAATTTAAGTATTCGTTTTCTGTTCTTTGACTTAGAAAAATTTGCTGGCTGTTTATCTGTGCTTTTCACAACCAAATCTTTAATTGTTCCTTCACCTTTGTGCTTTTTTTTTGGATCTTCATTTGATTTTTCTGTAATTAATACTTTATTATCTTGTCCTGCAAGAGTTTCATCTTCAGATGAAGATTCAAATTTAAGTATTCGTTTTCTGTCCTTTAACTTAGAAAAGTTTGCTGGCTGTTTATCTGTGCTTTTCACAACCAAGTCTTTAATTGATTCGTTATTGTTCTCGTATAGATCATCATTTTCAGGGAATGAACCATTTGAAGCAGTAAAATATTCATTTGGCGGCAGTTGACTTCGTCTTTCTAAAATAGTCGTTACCTTAACTCGACGATTAACTGTCGTTTGGCGATAAGTACCTTTATGAATCTTGTCAGTATGGGCCAAATGGCTTGTTATTAAAGCCAAATCTTCAGCTTTTTGATTATTAGCGAAGTCAGTCGCAATAGTTTTACGGTTGTTTGTAGCTAATATTATTTCAGGATTTTTTAATTTCTTGTACGTTTTATTGCAAAGATTAACTAATCTCTTGTTAGTTTGATTGGCTTTCATATACTTCATCCGTACATCATCAGAGTCATTTTTCATAGCAAAAAGGTAGCGATTTTTAGGATGGATTTTTGCTTCTTTTCTAAATTTTTCTAGTAATTTCAGAGCTTGTACATCTTCAGTAGTTAAATAAAAAGTACAATCGATGCCATCAATTTTTTTCCCTTGACCAATAATTACAGAATATTTAGTAGCTTGTAACTGTTCAGACGGGTTGAGTGATTGGAAGTAGTCGTCGTCTTTATCAACATCTAAACGGCGTTGAAAACTCCACAGTCTTGTACGCTCTGTTTCTCCTGGACGACGCCCATTAAAAATCATTGTTAAAATCATTTGAAATTCCATTAATTCGTAGTATACATTTTACTTTTTGAAGTAACATTACACGATCATTTCTTTCTTTTGTCATAAATTCCATATACGTAGCACTATCAGATTTATTATGTAACGGGGGCAGCGCCTTATTCGGCACTGACGTCACTAATTTATTAAGGGGAGAGTAAGAGAGGCACTTACTCTTTAACAATCGGGAAACGAGAGGATAGGTCGAACGAATAATTAATTTTCTTTACTTGGAACATACAACTTAAATCTATTCAGACAAACAAATACAAAATCAGTTACAATAACGTTTACACCACGCGCACATATACAGAACAATTTAAACTAACGCGGGAGGACGAATGGCCCGGCGACTAAATCGCCTTGGCCATTTACCTCCTTACAAAGGAAAGAATACGTTGAAACCTCTCTACCGCATTACGATAAGCGTAGCCGGCAAGTGATCGCCTGGCTACGTATCGTTCCTACGCGGCCGCGCATCACCATGAGAGAGAGAAATACCGGGAGAGAGAGATAACCTGACCTTTGTCCTTGGCGATGAGCCGGCAACGGGGAGTTGACCTGGCCGCTGGCTGGACGTCTTCCTCGGCGTAGCCCGTGGTGAACCCCCTGGAAGTCATGCCGTGCATGGCGGCGAGGGCGACACTGAATGCCCTGCTGCAGGTGTTGCCGCCACACGTTGCCTCGGCTCGCCCTGGTCTGGTCACTGCTGCACGTGTACTTCTTCTCTCATTGCGCTGCTACTTCCAACTTCTCTCCTCAACTTTCTTCCGGGAACTACCTCACGCGACTTGACGCATGGTCAGCGTTCGCGCTCTCGCCGGGCTCTCCCACCAAGCCTACTCATTAGGCGGCGTGCGACAAAAGCGCTAATTGGTCGCGCGTCACACGCCGGCCTAAACCTGCATAGTGCGTGCATAGACGCGCACTCTCTCTCTCTCTCTCTCTCTCTCTACCTCATAGTCGCTGCGCTCTTGCTTCTTCGGGCGCTCTCAATCTTGCTCGGCAATCTTCGGCGGCTGGAAAAACATAAAGGCCAGTGGTTAGGCGCAATAAATATATGCGCCGAACGCTGACCACGTCGCCATGCCGAGTGATAAGAGGGAGAGAGAGAAGAAGGGCAGACGAGGAGCAAGTGTACTGCTTGCTCTCGTCACATCCCCTCCCAAGGCCAAAGCTCACTGCGGCCTGACTCTCTTCCCCCTTCTCCTCTCTCGACCGGCAACTTGCAGCCAGCGCTAAACGCTAAACAAAATAATAACCTTAATTAATTTCTTAATCATAACTTAGGCTATAACTTAAATTTATTCTGATAACACCCAGATAGAACCAAGGGCAAACTCTTCATCCCCAAAATCTAAACTTAAAACCCTTACAACAAAGTGAACAAACTTCTCTCACCGAAGAATCGACCAACCCCGCACGCCATCATAGCAATCCAACTCTAAAATAATAAATATTCGTAAAAAAATTACGCGTTTACTTTCCGTGGCGAATCTCCGAAACATGTACTCTAGTGGTACGATATTTTTGCTATTCGTGGCCAATTCATAAATCTCGGGCGAGATTACCAAAACGATTTTAAACGGATCGTCATTTTTCGGATGAAGTTTCGCGTTCTTGCCCGCCGCTGCATTCGAAAGCATATGCACTTCGCGCCAAACCAAATCGCCCACTTGAAAAAGAGCTCGTCGCTTACCTTTATCGTAGTACTTCTTTTACTTTTCCTGTGCTTCGTCAATATGCTTGGCTACTAAGTCGCGCAACGCATTCAAACGTAATAGCCTATCTTCCATGCCTTTGTATCCAACTTAACTATCTGCTTTACCTTATCACCATCCGGACGCAAGCCCTCACAGTCTAACCTGTACCCAATCGCTTCAAAACCTTTTCTAACCCTAACATATAGCTCTCAAAATCTGCACTAACCACCAACAAATCATCAAGATACCAGAAAAACATGCGGCTCATACTCTGGACCGAAAAGTGCATCCATAAGGCGCGTGAAAGTAGCCGGCGCATTTACCAAACCAAACGGCATTCGCTCAAACTCCCATAAACCAAGACCTGGGACCGCGAACGCTGTATATTGTTTACTATTTTCAAATAACGGAATTTGCCAAAACGCCGCTCGCAGATCTATTTTTGACAGGTAAACCGCTCCGCGCAACCTATCTAAAATAGCGTCAATGCTAGGCATCGGATACGCGTCTACTTTCGTCACCTTATTTACAGGTCTAAAATCGAGGCAAAACCTATAATCACCGTCTTGTTTACGCACGATCACCGGCGCGTTACACCATTGACTATTCGATGGCCTAATTATTTTCGCTTTCCATAGCCGCATGGTTTCTTTCAGCGTAAATGCTAAGATTGGAGGCGACATTCGGCGCATCGGCGTCTTTATCGGGCGCACATCGCCTACGTCGATAATGTGCTCGATAACCCTGATGACCGCTGGTGATTCGCCAGGTTCCGAGACAATCCGGCGAACGAGCGCCATGATTGTCTCTTTCTGAGCCTTCTCGTATTTACTCAAACCCGCGCATTCGGCGTAAACATCTACTTCTCTA